TTTTGCGACGGTACAAGGGGGTAAGGGTCTGAGCTTCCGGAAAATGAGCTAGCATTTCATTCTGAAGGGCAGCGTAGACCACCATGGGGGGGAGGAGGTCGAGAAGTTTTTGTGAGGTCTCAGTCGGCAATAGGCCGACCGCGGCCCGATTGCATGCCCAACCAAGATGTTCCTCCACATACTTGGGCAGCTCTTCTGGGGAAAGATCCACGAGGTACAACCTCACCGCTTCAGGGACCACCTCGACGGGAGAGACGAGCAGGTGGTGTGCAAGTTGCTCGACCAGAGCTTCCAGCCTTGGAGGACCTCCTCCGACAACGGCTTTCTCTATGCACCTCAAGATTATATCTGCACCGACCTCGGGGTCGGGGGTCGTGGAGAGGGCGTCCAAAACCTGGGACTGGTCAGCGGCGCCCTCCTCGATGACGAAGATGTCGCACAGAGGCGGAAGAGTCCCTGCATCGGAGCCAGATGTGAGAATTTGACCGGGCTCCGCCTCATGAACACGACTCATTGAAGATGCCATTAAGTCTCAAGGTCAATAACTTACTACTAAGACATAAATCTGATGGAGATGGGGTCTACTACGACTCAGACTTGGGTTGTACGAATAAAGGACTGGCCATTGCTCGGCCCGAGCAAAAACACGCGTGCACATGATTGCACGCAGGCACCTGTGGCGCACACAACCTGTGCGTGAGGCCCACTATCGACCATCCATCAAACCACAACCATCAGAACTGATAATAAAAGCGTGGCAGCATGGCTTGCAAGGAAGCAATCTTCTCATTGGGTGCCAGTAAAAGGAATCAGCAGGACAGCTGTTGAGTCACGCTTACAGTACTATGAAGATACGGTTAAATATAATCAATTAGATGTCAAAGTTGAATGGATACCATCAGAGGAGAACCTAGCTGATGAATTGTCAAGGGTACCATCATACATGTTAAGACAAGAACTTACTTCTCGATCGTTGTTTAACACGGGAAGTGAAAAAGACGAAGTAGTGGCAGTAGGTGATCCACATGCAGTAGATCCTCTTACACCGAATGAGTTGTTCGATCAGAGACATTGGATAAGTACATTAGCCCAAACAGATGATGGGAAAGTAATTGTACCAGAAGATCAAGCAGATAAATTCACGACAGAATTGCATAATCATGAAGGTGCTACAGGATTGTATGAGCGGTTGAAACCCTGGGTAAATATGGAAAATCTGAAACAACATTGTAAACATGCAGTAGCAATATGTGATGCCTGTCAGAAGGGAAAAACATTCGCAGGAGATAGGCAACAGTGGCATTCTTCAATTATGAAACGCAATACAGAGGTTCCTTTCGCAAAATTACATGCAGATATAGTAGGCCCATATAGATCTTCTAATGGAGAGTCTCTGATGTATGTTGTAACCATCATAGATAGTGCAACAGGATATGCAGTGGTTAAACCTACAAAACACTGTCCAACCAGTAATGATATTGTAGAGACATTCCAATATCTTACTGAGTGTTTTGCACTTCACCGTTAGTAGTGCACACTGATAATGGATCGGTGTTTATCTCGGATAGGTTTTCGAAATACTTGACGTCAATTAAAGCGATTCATGAGCGGTCAGCAGTGTTCGCTAGTTGGTCAATGGTAAAGTAGAAAGACT